CCCCCCCGCGAGGGGGGTCAGCGCCCGTCGGCATGTATTAGCTCTAGAATTACCACAGTTATCCAAGTAGGAGAGGAGCGAGCGACCAAAGGAACCATAACTGATTTAATGAGCCATTCGCAGTTTCACTGTACCAGCCGTGCGTACTTAGACATGCATGGCTTAATCTTTGAGACAAGCATATGCTACTGGCAGGATCAACCAGGTAGGAGCGCGGTGAGCCAGAGACAGCCCGCGCCCCCGAGGAGGGGCGCGGCACAAGGTCTCCCGGTGGGCCGGACGTGCCGAGCACGGGGAGGCACACGCGGCGGTGGCGGCGGCGGCGGCAACCCCCCCACGGAGCGCAGGAGCCCGCGGGGGGCGGGGGAGCGGGAAGACGCTCCCCACTCGCCACGGCCCAACCCCCACCCGCAACGGCGAGCGAGGCTGACTGCCCGGGCCCCGCCACCGCGGACGAGGGCACACCGGCGGCGGCGCCGAGAGGCGAGGGACGATCCGACCCCCCACACACCGGGCCGGCCCCGGTGGCGGCGCGCGGGCGGGGCCGGGGCACCGGTCGGCCACGCCGGGGCCGGGGCGGGCCAGCGCGCGCTCCCGCAGAGCAAGGGGAAGCCGGGCCGGAACCCGACACCCCCCCCACCACCGGCGGAGGCAGCGCGCGGCCGCAACGGCCACGGCGGACGGCCGGGACCCGACCCACGCCCGGGCACGCGCGCCGGAGCCGGGGGCGCACGGCGTAGGGCGGGGCGGAGCCGTCCCCCGTCCGCACACGACACCACCGCCGGGCCGGCGGCGGCAGACACGGATGGGAGGCCGCAACGGGCCGGAGAAGCACCAGCGCACCGGGGCGCGGCACCGGGCCGACAGGCAGACGGGGGCGGGGGGGAGGCCGCGAGACAACGGCTCCGCGGCAAGGGGCGTGGGCGCCAGAAACCGGAGCAGCCGCGGGGGAAGAGGACCGCGGGCCGCCGCGAGGGAGCGCAAGAGCTCCTCAAAAGGCGCCTTCCAAGGCCCGAGGTCGGCCGCCGGGGCACACGGGGTCCCACCGCCCAAGGCCTCCAGCACAAGGGCGGTCCCGTGGCACCCGAGGACACAGACCCGGGCCCCAGCGGGCCCTGGCCACCTCGCGGGGCCCGGGCCCCCGGCCACCACGCCACAGTCACGACCGACACCCAACGGGACGCTCTCCCGCGCGCACGACGACACCCCTCCGTGCCCCACTCGAATGGACCCGCGCAAACCCCTCCTTCTCACCCGGGGCCAAGGCCCCTTCGCCCGGGGACGACCCCCCCCCAAGGGCCGCTAGAGGCCTGGGAGGGGACAACACCCAACAGCGGCGAGGCCGGTTTCGGTCCCGAGGAAGCGGATCAAGGGCACAGCGCGCCCTCACCCGTCCAGGCAAGCCAGGGACAAGGTGAGGGAGGGGGGGGGAGGTCGGCGGCGACGGGGAGGGGGCGCCCAGGGGCGACGGCCGACAGCGCGTGGGGAGCGGTTCGCGGGGGGGGAAGGGAGCACCAACGAAGGCGCGAGCCGGGCCGCCAGGTAAACGTGCACGGGATCCCACCGCCACCAGCACGAGAGCGGTCCCGCGACGCCCGGGGACGCCGGCCGGCCTCAGCACCCTTGGCGCGCCTCCCCACCGCGAACCGGGCCCCACACCGCTGGGGCCCAACCCCACGGGGGCCCCGCCGCAGGGGGCCCGTCTGAACCCTCAACCCGTCCGTCTGGTCCGTCCCGGAACCACGACCCGGGGGAAGCGCCCCCAGGCGAGAGCGGCCCGACCCGTGCCCACACGTCACCGCCGGCGGCGACTCGGCCCGGGAGCGGGCACAGCAGACAGCCGCTCGCACGGCACAGGGCAGGAGATGCACGACCGCGAGGGAGTGGCCGCGCGCGCACTCGCACGCACACGGGAGCCCCACGCGCCAGACGCCGGCCAGGCCCGGCGGGATCCTCCCCCGACTGGGAGGGGGGAGGCGCAGGCCGCGGTAGGCAAGAGAGCGACGCTCGGCCCCACCGCGGGGCCGGCAGACCCCTCGCGGAGAGGGGGCTCTGCCCAACACGCAACGGTAGCGGTGGCCACTACGCGCAGAGGAGGGGCGGCGGCTGGGGGTTCCGGTACCCCAAGGCACCCTCTCGGATCGCTAGAGAAGGCTTTCTCACCGAGGGCGCATCGCCCCCACCCATTCGTCCCCCCGACCGAGCCCCGCGAAAGGGCGTCCCAGAGGCCTCCAAGGGCCTGGGGGCAGGGGTGGGTCCGCGGTAAGGGGCAGGCACAGGGCAATCCTGAGCGCGCGCGGCCAGGGCCCGACAAGGGGGCCGCCTTTGCCTCTCCACACAGGCCATGCTCCCATCACCGCCCGGAAGGAACCTCGTGCCTCCACCGGGGCCACGAGAGGAGCGGAGACGGACACGGCATGCTGGGCAAAAAAAGCAGCAGCCCTCGGCTGGCCAAGCGCCACAGCGCTGGCTCGGCCCGGCGCGGTCGCTCACACACCCCACCAAGTCCTGTCCACACACACCCCCCAGCACGACGCGCGCCAGGGGACGACGAGGCGCCCGCACCCCCACAGAGGGGGGCAGGGTGGGCCTCCCTTACCGGCTCCACCACCCGCTCTTCGGACATGCCACTGACAGCAGCAGCTCAACGGGGTCGCTGGGAACGGGAAACGACGCCACCGCTCGGCCTCAGGCACCTGAGACAACCTGGAGCGCTCCAGGGGCACCACAGAGGGCCAGGTGCCACGCACTCAGCACGCCCAGGCGGTGAGCAGCGCGGCATGGGGACGGCCCTCCCCGCCTCGGGGAGGGCCGCTCGCCCCGCAGGAAGCCAAGAGCGGCAAGCGAGAGTGTCCGCTGCGTCAGAGGACCCCACGCCCATGGGCGCCCTGAGGCGGGAACCATGGAAAAGTGGAGTCGGGCCGGAGCCCACAAACCCCCCACACCCTCCCCCACACACCCCCGCGACAGCGGGTGGCAGAGGAGGAGCGAGGGACCCGCGGGCAGAGCGAGAAGAGCGGTCCCATTCGCCATGAATGTCCGTCCCTCGTCTGACGCGGCTTAGGCCCGGCCCAGGAGAACACGACATCACCACATCGATCAGCAAAAAGCGTGCCCAAGGGGGCCCCAGGGGGGGAAACGCCTGGCGAGGACACCGACCAGAAGGACCTGCTTTCGGCCTCGCCAGCACCCCTCGGACCCAGGGCAAGAACAGCCGGGCAACCCAGGGAGAACGCCTGACACGTGGCATAGAGCCTTGCGGAATGGAACGGGGGTTACCACGGCCGCGGCCGGGTGCCTGCAGCGCAGAGCGCACGGGGTAAAGGACCCACGCCACCTGCCCACGCAGCCCTCGGGTGCTGGAGACCGGAGGTGGCACCACAGCCCGGGCCACCTGGGGGGCACAAGAGCCGGCGCACAGGCCCACGCGGACGGCTCAAACGAGCGAGGGCCGAGCCGGATTTGGCACCACGGCCAAGCCCGGAGCCCCGCACGCACCCAGAAGCCCACATCTCCAAGGCGAGTCACTCCAACAGCGTGTCAGCACCTACCTGGCAACAAAAAGTGCTCCTTTCAGGGGACAAAATAGCCACGCCATCTGGCGGGGCCTAGCCACAGGTCACCGGGACCTCGTGGGACCGTGGCCCGGCCACCGGCCCCAAACACCGCTCCGTTACCCACCCCCCCCCCCCAAGGGGGCGCCCC